AAAAAAAAAAAAAAAAAAAAAAAAAAAAAAAAAAAAAAAAAAGTTAAAATGTCAATACAGTATAAAGTTAAGGAATTAGAAGGAGTTTCATTTTTTTTTTATGAAATGAACAAATTCAAATGATAGTCTGACCTAAAATGTTTCTTGTTTGAGTCTCCACAGAAGTTCACAGGTTTTCAGTGTCTGAAATTTTCACAATTACCAAGTAGTGGCTATCTTTACAGACTAGAAGAGAAAGAAATAATTGTCATGGACTCTGTGTCCTATATCATTGTGTTAGATACATGTGATCCATGCCCATACTATATCATATTACTATACAAAAAAAAAAAAAAAAGTAACCCCTGACTATTTTTCTTGGTATTCTCAGGTGTTATTTTTAAAGGCACAATATTTTATACTGCCATAGAAGAGTCTGCTTCTACCATGGAAAGTATTCTTTAAGTGTTATACAATAACAGAAATTAAATAAAATACTACTATATAAAATGATATAGTAGTTCACATTTCAAAATAACATCAGACTCTCCAGGGATAAAAAAGCCATTTGAATACCACCTTCATCTTGCCTGACAACCTGTTCTGTGAAACATGAATAGGTAACCATATGGAATTTAGGACTTTGCAAAATGCAACTTACTGCTTTAGGACTAAACCAAACAAACAAAAAAAAATTACTAGGTCAAAATCAGAGGTATAGCTAAGTGAGCCTAAAGGGAATTTAAGTTGGAGTGGCTTATATTCTTCTACCACATCTGAATCATGTTGTGGTAGGTTGACCCCAGCCAGCAGTTAAGCCCCTACCCAGTTGCTCACTGACACCCATCCAGCAGGATGGAATGGGGAGAATTCCAAGGGCAAAAATGAGAAAAACTCTGTGGGTTGAGATAAAGGTGCTATACTAAGTAAAGAAAAAAATCCAACAAACACAAAATCAAGTGATGCAAAAGCAACCACTCACCACCCTCCTACCAGCAGGCCGATGCCCACCCGGTCTCTGAGCAATGAATACTTCGGAGTGTCATCAACAGCTTGAGAAGGTGGCATTGTTTCCCATATTAACATGAGAAAAACTACTTTAAACCAGGTTAGTTGTTCTTAAAATCCTGACAGCATACACATTACAGCTGCTTCTGCCTGATGTGAACAAGAAAGCATTTTTACATTTTTATTAATGTTATTTGTACATTCCAATACTTCTATTAACATTCTTTTCTACTAATATTAACTGTAAGAGCAACCCGACCATAATTTCTCAAAAAGAAGCCACCAGAATGGTTTGGAGTATAATGGTTGGACTCAATGATCTCAAAGGTCTTTTCCAACTGAAACAATTCTATGATTCTATAACATGATGGAAGTCTGCCTTGGTAAATAGAAACTGCATCCACAGTGTAACTGCAGTAGCAGTTCTGCAGCAATACAATTCATACAACACACACAGTTGCAGGGAGCTTAAAACTAAATATTTTGGTAATAACAGCCATAGAGCATTGTCTCTGAATAACAAAAGATTTGATAGGAAGACTAAAGGATGTTGGATCCGACAGAAGAAAAACCAAAGAACATGTGGTTCTATTTTTGAGGAATCAAAAGGGCTTCAGGAAAGTGAAAACATTTTCTTATTAAAATTAATAAATGAGTATTGAAAAGGTGAACTCTGAATTTTCTTCAGATTTTAGTTTTCATGCGAAATAGTTGCACAAGTTGAGATACAATGACCATTTAGGTTATCAGAAATGTATAGAAGAATTTGAAAATATAGTCTTAGACATAAATCTTCAGTATTGTGGACTTGTTTTGATTTACAGGAGATGCAAAGGGAATGCTGCTGTTGGAGTCAGACACCTTTATTCAAGAAACCTACTTTGAATTTTTGTTGTTACTGCAGAAAGATGGAGTTTCTCTCTTCATGGGTCCACCGACTGATTTAATGTATCTTCTGTCATACTGCTGCTGTGGATTTCATCTCTTAAGGGAGAGAAGTAGAGAAAAGAGTAACAAACTGCACAGCAATCTATAAAACTATTGGCATTTCGAGCATGTTCAGTATGACTCTGTGATTAAAGGCAAATGGTGCATACATGCTGATGTTTTCGCTCAGGTTTTGAAGGGCACTGTGTCTGCGTTTATGATATTAATACCAATCTATAACAGTATAGTATTTTTATTTGATGATATTTTGGTCCTAAGATCACTCCTCATGTTGGGAAAGTGTTAAAGCAAAGAGGACTTCATGTGTCTGTCCAACAGTTCGCTGTTGAATGATGATGATTCATTCACTGGATGGGAAGAAAGTTCCTCGAGATCAGCCTTGAAAGCAATCTGTCATTAGACCAGCACATTAGCTTTCCGCAAATTCATTTGTGAGATTCTTCCCAGGAAATAATGGCTAATAAAGCAAGGAAATGACGGAAGAATATTGAGGCCTTTTTAAAGCATCAGACCCAATTCTTTCACAAACACAATAAAGGACAATTGCACAACCATCTATGAAGTTGCATGTATTTTCTAAGAAATAATAAAGAGAGTTTGCATTCACAACCACGAGCTAATGTAACACTTTCAGTGTCACTCTCGTTCCATAGCTGGTGTGACTGCTGTCTGATGTCTAGTGTGACTCTTCCGCTCCTGTATGTTCAGCCCTAACATCAGGTCAGAATCACACACTCCCAAAACCAGTGCCTGGGAAGGCAGGATTTATAATGTGTCTGATCTCAGACTGCTGGATTGCACTTGCCTGAATCCTGCAGAGAGCTCTGGTTGAGGTCTGAATAAACAGCTGAATTTCAGGTTGATAAAATACTCTGTGAGCTTAAAATATTGAGTGTTATATACAAACATCAGTCTTCTAAATCTCTACTTTTTATGGCCTGGGTTTTTAACTTCCTTTTGAGAACTAAATTAGAAAAGTAAGTTTAATGCATAATTGTGGACAAGGAGATAGAATGGGAACATTGATTTAAAAAGAAAAACAGAAAAGGCAGAGGAAGGGGAACTGGATGGGAAAATATTCCAAAGACAGTATAAAGATATCATTGTTTTGTGATTTTTAGCAGTTCATCATCTTCAATTGAGTCTAAATTCTTGTCTTTTGGGGATCCATCCTATCATCAAATGCATCAACAGTTTCTTGCCAGGAATATTTGTATTTTAAAAGCAAAAATCTGCTTTATGGTTTAGCTCTGTATGGGAATTGTTTTTAAAAAAATAAAAAGGTATATCTATATCTTATGCAAAGTGGTGAAATATGTATTCTACAGTGAATGGCAGGGTTTTCATTCTCTGTAGTACACTCAGCATTTTACATAAGGATTAATTTTTATATGGGGGTGTGTATTTTTTTTTCCACCAGCAGTATAGTATGTTAATGCATGAATACTCCTTTCTAGGAACTAGAATTCAGTATATTTTCTGATGTGGTAAGAAGTTGACGGTGGAGTAGCCATAGTCCCATGTATGATTTACTACCCTCTCTATGTTAGAGGCAGGAGAAACTCACTTTTTATTAATTTTAAATACTAGAGAAAAACTGGCTAAAATATTGATCTCCCAGTTGATCTGTTTTATGGACAAGCCAGCAGAAATTATGGTGATTTACATGGGCACCTACCAGTGAATATCCGAGGAAGTCACGGTCTCATAGGCTGCCATGTGTTCCTGTGGGCACCCCAAGGGCTTGGCACTCAGGTCTTTCATTTTGCTAAGAGCTGCCTCCTCACATTCACATGCAAAGGCCAAGTACATGTGCAGTTGCTGCACAGGATATTTATGGAGTCTTTTTCAGCAAGTAGCAAAATTAGCCTCTTCACCTTTCGCAGACCTGTGTGCTGCATCTCTTCTAAACAGGTAAAATCCTTTGTATTAACAGTGTTCATTGGGGAGCATCTCTTTCCTGGTACTCTTTCACATCATATCATCATCTGGGCTCAAAAGCCACACAATAATTAAACTCAGAGTACCTTAGCAGGGAAAGGCTTCAGGATGTTTTTATATTTAAATCGTGAATATGCAAAAGAGGGCTTTTTACAGTGTAATCTGCTTCTAAAATTAGCATTTATCCATAAGTAACATATAAATTGTTTCTACGCTGGATTTCTATAACTGTCCATAGATGAATTACAAGTTTTAGTGATACCATATTTAACTCTAAGAAAATATCGCCATCTGTTGCTCCACGTAGTAATTGCAGCTACTTTATACAGATGCTGTTCAACCAATTTACATTGCGTTCTACGTATCTGCTGTTAACAAGAATTCAATTGTTTTCAGAAAAAGGTGGGTTATTCCTGTTTCACACTAGAGTAGCTTAATGAATTTCTGTGAAATTACATGGCAAAAAGGGGAAACAAGCATAATAGTTTTATTTTCAATAGTAGGGTTGGTTAAGGATTTATAGGAATTATGTTATTGAGCAAGGGGTGATTTCTTTAATTGTTAGAGATGAACCGTTGGGGTGGCTAACCACCAGGCCGCTGAGAAAAAGCAGTGCATTTAGTGCTGTGACTGTTACTTAAAAATCCTTGTCTCTTACCTCGATGCTAATGAAACAAATGGCCTGAGGTGACTGTTGTGGGAACAGAAGAACTTGGAAAGAATGATAGCTTTATTCTAACATGTGCTCTTTCTAAATTTCTACTATGCAATATCTAAGAAAGGCCTTTATAATTTTATATATCTTTTTTTTTTTTTTTTTTTTTTTCTTCCACTCAGATAGTTAGAATCACCATTTAATCTTTTAATGGCCAAGAAAATAAGCAAAACAAAAAATTCCATGCAAAATAAAAATCCAACTCCAGATAAGATGTATGGTGCCTGCAGTCTCCTGCTTTATTCACAGTTTAGTCCACTTAGTTTGCACACTTCTAATTGCTTAGGTCAAGTTGTACTGTTTTCTTGTTTTGCCAATAAAAGCCACGCAGAAGTAGTATATGAAGGTGTAGAAGGCTAGAGAAATTTGGTTGCATTTAGGAGGATCATGGGTCTTTCAAACACAACCATCTGCATTTGAAACTTTGTTCTGGAATTCTTAAGGACACACATCCGATGAGACACGAGACGAAGCAAACTAGATTTCACAAGAGGAAAGCAAAAACCTGTGATCAGTGCAAGTTTAACCTGTTCTCTCAAAAACACTTTTTACTCTTATACCAGTTCTGATTTTCTGATTAAACCTCTCCCACTTTAAGTTTTCCATCCTCACCCTTCCTGTTCTTTCTCAGTCTTCTGCTAGTTCCTGACTCCAAACCATACCTTATTTCATTCCCTCTAGTTTTGATCTATATCTTCTTGAAAACTTGACAAACAGTATCTCTTAACATGCAAAACTACAAATAGTTCAACACTGATGCCAGCTTGGTCGTCTTTTTTTTTTTTCAGAATATCTTATTTCCAAAAGGCACAAACAAAATGCCTTGTTTACAAATATGGGCAGCACAGTCCTGTCAGTGTCCACAAGGCTTTGATTCACAAAGACTAAATTTATAGATGCTAATCAAAAACCAACAAAAGTGGGCTTCCTATTAAAATTTGTCCATTGGGCACTGAATTACGGTACTAACCATAGAGGCGGTCTAGGAAGATCAGCCTCATTAGATTAAAGCTACTTTTTTTGGATAGTCACTGTAGAAATACCGCCACTGTCTGTAGTCTATATGTATTTGCTTTTAAAATATTTTATATATCTTTCTCTGTTATGCTAAAATTTATGGATCACAACTGCTAATATGACAGTTCCAGGTTACTTACAAATAATGATCTAAATAATTTTCCATGTTGTCACTTTTTTTTCCTTCTGTTTCTTCCTCCAGCTCCTTATTTTTTTCTTCTTCAAAAGTAGAACGCCCCTCCACAGAAAGTCTGGCTCCATCTGTACTTTCCACATACTTCTACAACTGGCTATGAATACAAAAATACGTAGCAGTTGTCACTAGGTACTATTTTGTTACCATTGTGAAGGGTTAGCTACAAAACATCGCTGGAGTATTGACAAAAAAACCCTTGTATTAATGTATAAAAATCAGTACGTATCTTAATTTTTGAAGGAAGTGTGACAATTTTGAACATTTATCCCAACTATACATTCTCCAGAACGCTTTCTGAACTTTCACATCGTAGTTATGATTGCACCTTTTTGACTCTGTAACCTAAACCCCAGACCTAAAGACTAATTCTGAGACACAGATACCAGCAAAATTACAAAATTATTCTTGGTGTACATTGTGAGATCTGAATTTATTTTATCCATCTCTGTTAGGTATTTTCAATCGAATTTGCTGCTGTGCCTGTACTCTTGTTGATATCCTTACCTTTTCTTTTACTGACTGTATGAGAGTTACACATATATTTAAAAGAACAGTTTTATACAGCCTGTTATGTATAGCTTTCTGCCATGATCTTGAACACTGTTTTGTTAAGTTGCAGGAAAATATCCGTGAAATAAATGCTCATTTTACAGCCAGGGTAAATAAGAAACAGACATGTAAAGTAAGATAGCACATTTGTCCTGTGGCTCAGTGAAAAATCAGTCTTCTGGCTTTCTGCTTTAATCAGCTTATGTGTGGGTTTTCTCAGAATATATGAGAGTGTTGATATTTCATAAGCATTAAAAATTACTTTTAGTAATTACTTTTCTTGCTTAGACTGCATGTTATGAAACAAAGATTTTTTCATATTCATAAGCTGAATTTTAACATTTTCTTCAGAAGACTTATTTTTGTATGGTGAAGAAGGCCATGTCCTTTGGGGTAAAATGTAAGGGTTTATTTTCCTTCAGCCCATCAGTAAAATAGTATAATTTATTTGCAGATTTGTCACCCTTAAATGTAACAATTTATTGTCTTAGAAGTGACACACAAAGAATATTACTACCTGCTTATTTTAAACACAAATACTGTGTATGACTTAACCCTTCAGTTCCCAATATCTTGCAAGGTTCTAGCCTGATATCTAGTCATCACTTTCACATAAATTGGGAACTGAGCCAGGTCCAGAGGATGATGTAGACATCTAAGTGAGATTCAGGGACATATGTTTGAAATTTGATCTTGAAAACCTCCATGCAAATTAAGCCTAGAAAAGCCAAAAGATAACAAATATGTCCTATTTCTTACATTATCATTCAAGATCATTGCTGTGGGAATACAAACAGAGCATCTTACCTGCCAGAAGATTTCTGGTAAGACACACTGTGGCAACATTTCTGCCCATTCTCAAACATTTGCTTCTACCTCCTTAATGCTGTTCTGGTCACCACATAAATTGTTAGAGGAAAATTACTCGATCTAAAATATGTAAATATAAAACAACACAAAAATCATGCACACATTAAACACCCCATGACAGGAGAATTTCACTGCTCTAGTTTAGACAATAGTCCTACAAATGACCATTAAAAAATGGTCACACTGGCTGATGACAGAGCAACAGGGGGACTTTTGTGACTATCCTTATGTCTTGATTCTACACATATCATGTGAAATTCTTTTCCCTTGACATGTAGGTGGATCCACTGACTGAAACAAATGTTAGAGCAACACAAGAGATAAGGAGGACTATTTTAAGTAACCCTATAAAAAGAAAATTCAACAACTTAACAATGAAAATGACAAAGTCAAACAACTCCAGAATCTGTTGAAGTCAGAGGTGCAGAAGCTAGAACAATTCATTAATGCTCCATGCAAGAAGAACTGAATTATTTTAAGAGCACTGTATTTGCATTTTAGATATAGCAGAATGAACTAATTATGAAATGTATGCATCAAAGATTTCAATTTCAGGCTTGACTTTACTTTGGAGATTAATTTTTTACTTTATCATTTTTGCAGGCAGTTCAGTGGACAGTCTTATTTGACTGTTACTCATTGTTCAGTGATGTATGAAGTGTATTTAATCAATGTGAAGAAAGTAATATTAAACTATTATCAGAAGCATCAAATGTTCTAAAAAATCTCAAAAGGAAGGTCAAAAGGTAACATCTCTGCTAACAATATGAGAAACAATGTATTTAACTTATTCTTTACATGTGAGTTTTTCATGGCATATACGTTATCATTTTTTACATAAAATTACAATGTAAAATGTGGGGTTTTATCCTGTTGATTAAAAATATCATCTATATAGTGGATCAAATAAGTTTTCATTTTTTTCCTAAGATATTTAAATAACTCTTTTAGAGTTGATGTGCATTTTCAACGTGCATTTTAAAACCTTTGACAGGACAGTCTTTGTGGTCATCATTAAATTATTTTTGTCAGTGTGTTAGTTACTATAGAATAAGGTAATTTGCAACAAGGACAGTTATTTCAATAATTCACATTTCTGCAAATATTGAAAACCCGTCTTTATTAAGATCCAAAGTAGATCTTAATAAATCGATCACGTGGCCTTCTATTTTATGCTTTTCAATCTTTTCAGAGCCACCAACACAATGACAAATATGTTGTCTTAGTTTTGACCAAGACAGCTAGACATGAGTAACTATTTTTCCAAAAGCTGTGAGTGAGAAAAACATTCATTTCCGAGCCAGCAATTCCAACCCTGTTGTCCGGCATTGCTCCGTGTAAAGTGCGGATGGGATTTCAGTCCCTGTCCAACCGACCAATAGCCAGCTTCTAAGAGCATTTTCATGGTGAGTGCCATAGGTTAAAATCTTGTGGATATAAAGTCAGAACTCTCTCAATGTCAGTAGAGATTTAACCCCAGTGGGTTAGGTTAGTGTGGAAGACACACCATGCCAGCTGGAAAAATCACTGCACAAAGGAACAAGAGCTGTGCCAACAGGCGACACTTTTGTGACAAATTTGAACTGGAAAGATTTATTTATTCCATATTCACTGCCTCACACACATGGGTTGTATAAACAGTAATGGGGCAATAAATATTTAAAAAAAAAAATCCTCCCAAATCCTATGTGACTTGCACTTTCTAAGTCAAGAAAGGCATTAAGTCTAACTCAGAAGTCCAGAAGCTGCTTCTGAAATGAACAGAAGGGCCTTGAAGGAAGAGACTATGTGCATACAAACTGTTGAAAGGGTTGAAACAGATATGCTCAAAGGGTGATTTTCAATGTGTGTTTGAACTAAGATATTAACTCATTACATAATAAAGAAGTAGTGACTTTTTCACTGTGGCTTATGGAGTTAAGTTTCTGATTCAATTATGGATAACTGATTGCTTTTTCCTAGTTGAAGATGTACTCAAGTCAAACTCTGTTCAAAGAAATTAATTTCATACCACTATTAAAATGAATTACTGTCATCTTATTGTCTTTTTAACACATTTGTGATACCTTTTTCAACAATAGCTGACGGCTTTGCTTATTCTGTATCTCCGTTATATCAATCTTGCAGTTTCACAAACATAAAGCAATAAGACTCCTTGACTGGGGACTTCTACAGTGAATAGGCTATTAAGAATGAACAGTACGTCAAGCGGCTAGTAGAAATGCTTTCAGAGAAAGAGGAAAACATTGCTTGAATTTGATACATTTGCTTCAACAAACCTTCTCAATATCAGCTTTGACTTATTAGCATGTTGCAGAGAACTCTTTGTATATTTAAAGTTAACCTCACACAAGTACACTGTAAATGTTTATACAGAGCAATGACATCTGATATACGAGAACACACAGGCTGACAGACAAAGGAAAATATTTCTCACTTCTCAACCTTGGAAGCAACGAACGTGCAAAACCATCTGAAGTTTCAAAATAAGTGTTCCACAGAATCTGTTACATCTTACATATGACCTTCATTCTGCAAACACAGCAAGTGCCTTTTAAACATCACTACCATGAAGAGTTCCCTTGGCTTGCAGAAATCAAGCATAACTAAGTCTTTTCAGGATTAGGGTTTACTGTCTTGCAGAATACTTTGCCTTCTAATTTTATGATCAGAGGTGACTGTACAACATCCCTTGTGGAAAGTACTATTAGAAATGCACCCGGCTATTTTAAACAGTTTTTGATGTGACTGGCATTTTCCTCCTTCTTCAACGAGTGTTGAGCATACATAAATTATTACTGTCTCCTTTCCTTCCTCTCATGTGATTTCTTTATCTCTATTTGAATAGATGTATTGGCATGTGAAGGCTACTAAAACTACACAGCCTGACAGATAACAGTCACCTACTCAAGCAGACAACTCTTGATTCGATTCTTGATTAATTATTTTATTAAGCAAAGTTAATCTATCAAGTATAGATTTAATACAGTTGTAAAAGTTCATAATTTAGAGTCCAGTTATGTCACCGTAAAACACTCCAGGTTGTACTTACTGATTGCTAATTGCAACAAGTATGTAAATGTGACTAAGACTGGAGCTGTATTTTTCAAGCAATAAAACTGCTGTTGTTGTAAGTTAAGATTACTGAGTATATTTAAAAAACAAAACAAAACAACATATAGATTTGTTAAATGCAAGTAAATACTACAGGTATGACAGGATATTATTGGGCTACGTTCATCCTGTGCTATTAAAAGTACCTCTTATTGGTGACTATCTGATTTACAGGTGAACATTAATGAAATAAACAAAAAGTTTATCTAAAAAGCTAAACACTGAGTATCATGCTGTTATGGAAATAGCAGTCTCTGAAAACTCAGAGTTTCAGCATTAAGGCTGAAACAGAGCTAATCCCAAATCTTCATTATATTTCCTATGATTTATCAAAACCACAGACTATTTTAATTTATTCTTTTTCACGTATTGCACAGCAAATCAAACCTACTCCACTTTTATAGATTTAGCATAAACTAAACAAACTACCATAAATACTATCTCTTCTTGTGCTGCAATTACTGCATTAAGTTTTCCATTTGGAAGGATGGACCACGTGTATGTTACCTTGTTCCACAAGGGATTCTCTGCTTTGGAATGTGTCCACTGGCCAGGTTTTGATGCCTCTTCATGCTTCTCCCCTCACGGCTATCTGAAAATATATTTAAATTTTAGAAAATTACAATGAAATATGGTTATTAAGTAGTTGAAGTTAAATTTATTCCAGTATTTCATGAGATGTATTGTGAAACTACAGGCAAGCAAGTTGAATGTCTGGATTCTGAAGCTTGAAGTCTGTGTTATGTGCTGAAGGAGATGTTCAGATACAGCTTGCACAGATAGTTCAAAAACATAAGCTGAACTGTAAAAACACTCTGATTCAGCTGATCACATGCACTTGAACTTGCAAGAACACGCATCACATTCTGATCTAGTTTTACCATTCGAGCTTTGATTTTTGGCTTCACTTTAAACACTTCTTGACATTATGTACCACCGAGATGTGAAAATACATGACATTTACTATTTATCCATTAAAATTTATTTTGTTAAAGTGTTAAATAGTAAATATTAAATTGTACAGTAAATAAAACGATTGGCTGGTACGTATTATCAGCTTGACATACCACTAATAACAATTTAACAGTGACATAATGAACTGCAGTACCTATTTAAAAGAGCCCCCCCTTTCTTAGATACACAAATATAGAACTGATTAAGAAATTTCATGGAAGTATACTTATTTTCATACATGTGCTTAAGTTTATATTTATCACTTAAATGACTTAATAGAATGTTCTGCCAGAGTTGTCTTATAACGCCACCTATACTGATCACTTACAGATAGATTCAGCATATTGAACTTTTGCTTTACTTTATAGATCTCAGGCTCATAAAAGCTCACTGAATGTTAGATGCACCTTAGTTACTCACCCCGGATCACCTTGAAATCCCTGGAATCAAAGTTGAAGTTGAGGCATATTTTTTCTTTGAGATACATGTTTTTTACTAATAGTGAGGTTTCCCTATCTTCCACAGAAATTCTACAATGTGTGAAATTCTACAAGATTTAGGACTCTCACTTTTCTCCACTGAAATATAATTTAGGTACATAAGATTTTCAGTTAAATCCTCAGAAACTGTAAGATCTCCAAAACAGAATATAGTTTATCTGTGACACCAGACATTCAAACTTTTAAAAGAAAGTTGTAGAGAAATAAACAGAGTGGTTGTCAAATTATCATGTTAATTTAACATCATCTCATGTTTAACGTACAAGGCAGTCTAAAGTAAAGAATCTTAAGGAAATGTCAATTAAAATACTTCCTGTTAGCAAACATCAAAGAAAAACTCAAAAAGATCCTGTAGACTTCTATGACATTTACATGGTATGAAGGGGTCAAGGATGTTCACAAAGCCTCGTAAAAGAACATTGCAACAGAGCAGATCAAACAGAACAGCTGAAAGATGCTGCACTCTAAGAAGCATTGCTTTTGTGCAATTTAGGTACAAAAAAGAAGTGAATTTTTGTGGATATATTTTATTTCTTTAGATTGCCTTAGCAAGACAGATAAGAGATTTCATTTTTCTTTGTTTTCTTTTTTTTTTTTTTATCTTCACACTTCACTACAGGTCAGAGTAAGTGGAACTAGGATAACTTTACTTCTAGAGAACTAAAAGAAATCTGTTCTGGAAGCAGAAAGAAATAATTGAGAAAATGTGAGTTTGGTTATTCTAATAATTTTTAATTGAATTTGATCAAATATATTTGCAAAATTCAAAAGAGATTTGGCAAGAAATGAAAGTCAGTAATGGAAATGAACATAAAATCTAACTCTCAGATAAAATTAACTTGAAATAAATGCCTTTGGAGGTGACTGTACTTCAATTCTCCTTAGTTTGAATGTTGGTAACATTAGACTCAAATAAACTGTCTGTTTAAAAATAAAGTTCTGCAGCAACTGAAAAAAAATTGTCTACAGAAGGGCAACTGAAATTCAGACCTTCAGATTTTTTTTGTGTGCTCCGCGGAGATACTCAAGCTTATTTTAGATACCTGGTGGTTGTTGATAGCAATGTATATCATGCATATTAATGTACTGCAGGCTTCAGTGTGATGGACAAGAAACTGATCTATGTGAGGTTACGAATACTGCATGCTAATCTCATTGTGTGGATTTATTGCTTCAATTGATTGATTTATAGCTTGACTTCTAAAGAAAATCCATTGCAATCAATGAAAATCAGATGTATAAACATCTTTTTTAAAAATATCCGTCCATAGAGCATTCTGCTGAGCCTAGGCCACTAGCTTTGGTGTGGATGACCAAGGTGAGGACCCAGATCACCAGCTGCAGTATTAAACAATTTTCTCTTTCTCTCTAAAGGAGTCTGTTCTTGGAGGTATGGTTTGGAAAGCCATATGAAACACTCATTCACTGATGCATTGAAGTTTTCTTATTCTTGCCTAGGTTATTGTCATGAGTTTGAAAGACCCTGGTATGACAAAACTGTTAACATATAGTTACTCGTTCTGTTTTCTCTTACACACCCTTACTACAGTAGCTACAAGGCTGCTACTTTTGGTTTACGAACAGTTGAGAACTTTGGTCACAGAATGCAAAGGAAGGAGGTGTGTATATGGGATAGAGTTGGATGAGTAGATAAGCCATTCTGACTCAGGCAACAGAAATGAAAGGCACTGTTTAACTTCTGTTAAGGGATTTTAATTTATATACCCTAGCTTCCAATACACAGAAAGGCAGCGAGCTAGACTTTAGCCTAGTTGGGTTGCTAGACACAGCCCAAACTTTGATGTTATACATGTTTACAATAGGAAGCAGTGGTTGGAAGACAGTCCTGTGGTGGTTATCTCAAACACACTGTGGAAAATAAGTGACGCTGTCTTCAAATCCCAGAAAGGGGGATAGATGTGTCTCTGACCGAGTTGTTTCATTCCAGAAGCAAGAATTTCAATAGGATTTAACAGCTGCACCCTCAGCCCAGACAAAATGAAGACTAAGCTATGTATCGTTACCTGACAGTCTTTGAGAAATCCAAAGGTCCACATGACAGCACAGTGAAACTTAAAAAGCCTTGCAAGTTATTTGAATTATTTAAACCTATCATGTCAATTTTTAGTTTATATTCATTTTGATAGCTAATAGTTTTTACATACTTGTCTTTGGATGGAAGAAGTAGAAAAGTACCCAGCATAACACTCAGAGGCTTATATTACACACTCCTGATAAATCATAGTTCAGACTCAGTAAAAACAGAGTTGTCCAAAATTTTTTGTCTCTAATGTCTGGATAACATGAGGACAAAATGTCATAAAAACTTAATATATGTATTTTATATTATAACCATATAGTAAAACTACATCCAAACAATGCTCAAAGTCTGATTTAAATGAGAAAAAGCCATTAATTTATCTTCCTACCTGATTTAATCTACCCATTATAACTCATAGCAAAGATTTATTATCTTAATCTTGGTTTAAATTGCTAATATGCCAGTTTATAAACTGTCCTACAAAACTGGTGACATGTGACAGTATCTAATTTGAGCAAGATCAGATAAATCAGTTACAGTTCATAATCAGGAAAAAACATGGGTTTAGAATTAAGAACAGATAAAAGCAGGTTAGATAAACACAGTTATGATGAATTTTTCTCATTGTTGTAACTTTTACAATTAAATAAAACCCCAAAACAATATATCCACAAAACTCCCCATAAAGCTTAGTTTGATTTTGAGCCTTTTAAAGCACTACAGCCTTTTATAACAGCTCTCAGTCCACTCTTACACTAAATAGAGTCTGTTATTTATCTAAACGCACAGAAATTCCCACAAGTCCAGCAGTCTCACTTATTTGCATCACTAATTCCTTAAAAGGGGATCAGCTAATTACTTGTGTTAGGTTCAGTAATACAGAGCCAAGACTGAAATTTGTAGTAAGAATTTATAACAAGTGTTATTAAGCCTAAAACACGTTGTCAATTGTGGCTGTTTGTCTTCATATTTCTATCAGTTTCTATCACTTCAAAAAGTGGCTGTTTGTCTTCATATTTCTATCAGTTCTGGAATTATTGCAAAATACCTTTTGAGCTAAGAAGAAAACTGAAATTGTGCATTGTGGTTGCTTTATTCATAGGAATGAATGCTATTTCACAACAATTTTCTTTCAGGCTTGAAGGTTCCTTAGGTAGGTAGAGGAGGTAATGTAGGAAACACTGAATTTGCAATTGGGTTTTGATCTGGTATTGGAGTAAAAGATGTTGTAAAAAAAAAAAAAAAAATTAAAAAAAAATATATATGTATGTTTCAGTTAGGAAGCTGTTGTAGTGTAATCACGTCAGTTTTAATTGCTTGAACTAAGTTGTGTGCTGCCCCCCATTTGTCCCGACTCAGAGCACTGCCTGTAACGTACGAGCCACTCGTCGTTGATTTACACACTTCGTCAGCTGAAAATTAGTCCTTATCTTTTTGTTTCTTCTGTTCCTAACAACACTAGAAAGATAATCTCAAATCAGACACTCAGTAGCAACGAGTCTACTCCATGGTTCTGTGAAATTTCTGCCAAGTTTTCGGCGCTATTATTAATGAACATATTAATAATAACGAACATATTAATGAACATGTGCCAAAAGGTCTTCGGATAACCCTATGAGGCTGGAAAAATTCCACACCTGGTGAGTTTTTATAGCCAGTTTATAATGCTTGTGTATTACACATCAAAAGCTGACATAGTTTAAACTATAATGAATTAATGACTGCAGTTATATTAACAATATATATGAAAAAAAAAAAAAATCATTACAGAACCTCTTATGTTTGTGGTGTCACCTGCCACTGAGGGTTTAAGAAGTTTAATTTCTTGCAGCCAGCACTAGGTGGAGACAGTGATTCACACAATGCTTCCTAACAGACTTTTTTATTTTTTTAGCTGCTGAACCAGAGGTACTGTCAGCTAACATTATTTCATTGTTGTATTCAGTTTATTACAGATTGCAGGGTTACAGTTGTTTAGAGTTATTTTTTAGTAGTTCTCTCGAAGAAAGTGAAATAACAATACTCTCTGAATAGCTAGCAAGTCTCCCTGAATTCCTTTCACACACCTGTGTGTGTATGTAAATCACAAAACTCAAGGCAAACCATAAACAAAGCACCAGAGTTTTATTTCCAGGTTAAATGTGTGAAATTTATTTAGTAACGGTAACTCTGATCATATTTTTGAGACATAAGAAAAAAATCCTTACCTGTGTTTTGAAATTTGCTTTTTGAACTAGAAAATACATTCTCATACTTGATTAAATCAAGCCTTTATGAAAATGAGGATTCTTTTGAAATTCCTGGAAATAAATAAAAAAATTAAATCCATACATGTTAGTTTGCTTTTCCCATGTGAAGTCAATATATTGAACCTACCACAGTGTATTTAGTTGTCCTTACCACAAAACGGTCTCCCAATTGGCAGCTAGAGAGAGTTCTCGCACACCACTCGGGAACAATGATTGATATCACACTACCCGTCCCTTTCTTTAACTTCACATGAACTAGTTTTGAACAGTTAAGGGACGCTCAAAGAGAAAAACCGACAGGGAAAGATAATGGCATGCAACTAAACTGCCAAGAAATCACTTTGCAGATATTTTGGGTTAAAATTTAAGAAGTGGCTAGTGATTTAAGAATATATATGGCATCAACGTGAGACAGCATGTAATTAGCAGAAAGTAACTACACAGTACAGTCTGCAAATCTGACATGTTTGAATTATAAAAAGTTAAAAACCAGGCATATAGTAAGTCCTTTATGTAGGCTGCTGTTTGAGATAAAAGCAGCTGGATTTCTTGTGCTGGTGTACTATCTCCCTATTGTCTGAAAGATGGGACCTCCTGGCAGTGACGTTGTTTTGACTTAAAAATCATTTAAACACACTGAACTGGAGTGTGGGCTAATTTCCCAATGGCAATCAAACTTCAGAGTTTGAATTTGGCTGAGCCTAGCTGTAGCTGACTGCAGTCTATGCAGCTACATTGGGACAATGCATCCAAAAGGATCCTCTTGAAAACATCTGCTCCAGTTAGCAGAGCCATAGTAGGCATTTGGCAAATTTCACTAGCAGACTGCTGACATGTGATCAAAAACTGGCTGGAATTAATACAGCCTGGGCTGATTTCTTTGGGGTTGTTTGTACTATTGCATCTTTCAAAGAGAAAACAAAGTATTATTACTCTTCTGGTAGAAGCTGCTCATAACACTTGTTCAGCAGCAAGAAAGATGAATTGTCTTCACCTGAGCCCCTTCAGGGTGTCCAGTTCTCTCCAACAAGGGAATATACTAAAATAAAGTGAGAAAATGCAGGGTTGTTTTTCATGCAAGCAATGATAACAGTTCTTGGAGAACATGATGCTGTGATCTGTATCTTTTTGCCTAGTGTGAGGGGAAAAAGAGAGTTGGGCAGGCTGCTTGAGGGTCAGAAAGTCAGTGGCTGAGGTGAGTTAATATACATTGACCTCCCTGGTAATCATTCACCAAATTTATCTGTAATATAATTTACTACTGGAGGTAAGGAATTTCCATCATTAATATGGTCTTCCATCTGATTTCTTCTAATTCCTTTTAAGTACTCATAGCTATAGCTTAATGAGGACTACGAATTTTTCTGGCTATTTTGGAAATGACAAGGCTCCTACCAGTTTTAATTAAATTTTTTTGTTGTCTTTAAAACAGTACTTTAAAATCAGTACTGACATCTAACCTGAAAACAAATGCCTAAGTGTACCTGATGGAGCAAAGAAGACTTCTGAAGGTCCTAGTCAGGGCATTTGTGTTTATAGTTTGTGATACATACTGAAAAAAATCCAGGCTCTTCTTCCAGAATATTTTACTGCCAGCTTATTTCAGTCTTCGGTGCCTGGCAAATGAACAACAAAAACCCATAACTTTTTGTCTGAGTTCCATTTTGTTCAGTGACTCATTCATATTTTTCATATTTCATAGAAGTAGACTACTTACTACTAAAAAACTTGAATCTAGTTCTACTTTTCTAGGGGAAAGGTGTTACAGACTGAGTAACTTGGGGGAAACAGTAGATGCCTATTCAGCTACCTACCCGTGCTGAGTGGTTTGCTGTATTCAAGCAACTACAGTGTTTATTTATAATTTGTAGTGATTTTGCATTGCCAGAGACCCTGTTAGACTAGGTAGCTTGTGTTTGTCTTTTTTTTTGGCCTGTTTCTGAATTATGGCTATTCCTGATGCACTCACAGTACCTTCCTTTACTTCCTTTTCAAAGAGGAGGAGGTAATTACATGCAATCTGTCTTCCTGATGATAATAAATTTCCACAAGCCATGCTGGGTACATATATTCACAACAACCAGAGGAAAGGGGGGTTAAAAGACCATCAGAAAATCCACGATAGGATATGAAGAGTATCAGGGTAACCACATGCTTTGGACTTGATTTTGGTGACAGAAGAATGAATTTCAGAGCAGTATTTTTCCCCTTAGTAATTTGAGTTTAAGCACTCTGAATAAGACGCAGATATGCCTGTTTGGTAGGATGAACCCTTTTAAAGCCACCTATGAAATAACTACTTTAAAACACACCACTTCTCTCCCATATTTTCTGAGAAGGCTCCCCTTACAAGGGGAGAATAACATGAATTTTTTCTTATGTAGAAAGACAGATGTGAAATAAAGGTTTAATTATAACAGATTTTATAGTATAAAAAGAGGATGCTTCCATCTTCTATCGAGAAACAATTACATTCTAACACTACAGTGAAACAAATTACAGTGCAGTAGTTTGAATATGATACTGTATATAATTACTTCGGTGAACCCAAAATAGCCCAATGAGCACGTCTTTAATAAACAAGTATGAAAAAAATTAACAGATCAGGACTTTATCGCCAAGAGCAAATGTTTTTCTTCAGATATTTAGCTTGCACACAGCAGCGCACATTTTTTTTTCTTTTTCCATCTTAAGTTTCTTTGTGTTTAATACAGACTAAAGTTTTCAAACCTTGATATTTAAAGTTGCACTCTGAAAATCTAATTACACTTCACTATAGAGTTCAAAGACTCTTTAGCGAGGAGTCAGCAGGAACTCTAGGTGCCCTGGAAAATACAGTCACTTGTTTATGTTTAATATTTATAAAATATAGACTTTTCATGAAATGTAATGGAAACTAATACTTCCACTTGTAAGCCATGGTATTTTTCATGTGTCTGGTATTATGCTATAATACTAAATATCTTTCCAAATATACTTTACTAAGTAAGGTATTCTGGACACTACATGCAGGGGCTGAGGGAGAAGAGAGAAAAAAAAAATCCGTTTCCTTTTACCTGTAAAGAAAATCTTTAAGAAAGGCCGTTGCTTTTTGAGATCTTCCTTTTACATCTTGCCACAGCTATGAGTCAACCTCTACTAGAGAAATCCAATATAGCTGAAGGAGAGACACTGAGAGGTTGCAGATCTGCAAGTGATATGTGGCATCCACAGCCCTGCCCTGAAGGATACAGTTCTGTAAGTACTTACCAGGGATGTCAGGGTTGACATTCCTGGTTTCCTGGGGTGGGCAGAAAAGCCTTGTGCGTGGTTGTGTTCTGTTTACCATTCGTAAAGTTGGGGTGGGGAGGTGACCCAAAGAGGTGATGACGTACCCACTTCCGTAAGGAGGTATCAAACAGCGAGAGCTGACCGAGTTTGGAGAACAAACCCAGTATGCAGAATCTCTAGCTATCTGGGGTGCAGATACTCTCAAGTAAACTACGCATGGCACATATACTACCCATGCATCCCTTATGTGCTAATCACATCCTTCTCATACAGTCACGTTCCTGCTCCCACTCAGTCTCCTACACACTTATTTCTGCATTCTGCCTATAGTCTAAAATGTTTTTTCTTACAGATTATTTCGAGATGACATATGTAGCCATTTGTTGATATCAATCAATATTTAAGATTTAAATGTAGTAACAGACAGAAGCATGATCAGAGAATACATAGGCATGAGGTCAAAAGAAGAGTGGCTGTTAAACAATGGAGTGTAAGGGGAGTATCTGTGTGCCAGATAGACCAGTGGGGACAAAAGCAGTCTAAATGCTCAACTGAAATACATGAAAAATAAGGATACACAACAGTGCCAACACTGACGGCTGTATACAAGAGCAATGTAAAGGATAGTAATCTCAAAAAATCCCCAGCTCTCCAGTACAGGGGTAAATTCCCATCCATAGAACCCTACAAAGCCCCACAAACCCCACAAACAATAACAAAAGGCACTGTCAGCATTCTCACAGATGCTATCAGATACTCTTCAAGTTGCCTTCATCAGCCATATGCTCCGTTCCCACACAGTATCATTTACAGTTTATAAATAAAATTACTCACATGCAAAACTACAACTACCTTACTTTTTCAGAAAGTAAAATTTTATATATACTTTTACTGAAATTCTTGCTGAACTGAAACCACAAGCAAAACTCCCATTGGTTTTGGTGCAGCCAGGATTTGAGTCATGGACACCACCACCAAAAGACAGAAAATATAAAATACATTATTTTATCTATAAGTAGAACTATGGCTCTGCATTTAAGATAGCTGCAAAAAGTCAGATGTAGTTCTGTGAAATGGTGGTAAGGTATTTTTTAAATTTGCGTTACATATATTTTTTAATATACTGGCACAGTAAATGGTATGGAAGGCAAGACACATGAATTAAAGTGGAGGTGTGTCCCTGACAATTCATACATGCAACTACTGACAGATCCCTCAAAAAAAAGAAAAGGAAAAAATCTGTCTTTTAACCTACAATGTTTATTATACTAATATTGAGCTCTCCAATGCACACACAGTAAACAGTGTTTAAAATTTGTCCTTTCAGTTCAGACTCAAGATGCATTGCTGAAACACTGAATTCCAGCCCCTGAAGATCTAATGCACTAATCTAATGCACTGTGGCTGTCACATTACAGATGATTATAAATTAGAGAAGTCCTCGTGTTGCTATAATTTTCTAGAGATTGCTTCTTAAAGCCAGAAGGTGGGGAAAAAAAAAAAAAAAAAAAAATGTCTATGCTGGATTTAGCTGTTAGAAATACGAATCTGGAGCCATAACCAGGGTATCCAATTTATTTGCTCTCCCATAAGGAAGCAGAAGCAAGTTTAGTTCTCTAATGTAAAATTACAAGAGGGGCTGGAATCTGTGCTGACTGCTCTTGGGAGCTTTTGCAATCTTTCTACAATACCTATGTTCCACTTACACATATACGAAATGAGGAAATTATTTCCTTCCTTTGAAAAGATGACAAATTCATTAAGGGTTGTGAGATGCTATTATACAACAGCGATGTCATGCAAATATATAGTTTGGAAAAATAAAAAAATACATTGCAGATAAAACTACAAAGTTTGTACTTCTGAATTGCTACTACTTTATTTTTGTTGGGTAAATTACTTGCAGGATTAGAGTACGTCTGAAAATTAATAGCGCTGTTCTTTTGTTTCATTTTATGCGGTTCTGGAGACCAAAGGAGCCTCAGGAATTAATTGTAGCCTTCTAATAAACACAATGATGTAATGACGTATTTAACATTACTGGTTTTTGTTTGATTCCAAATAAATTGCAGATTTTTTTCTGATGTGATACTAAAACAATTACCATTTTGAAAAAGGATAATTAATCTACAATTTTTTCACATTAGATCATATATCTCTAAAGAGTGCCCACAGATTTGATGGTCTTCAGCTGCTGTGTATTTATTTTTCATTTTTTCTAGTGATGTACTGCCCCATCAGTGCTGACATTTAAATGAGTGAGTATTCAACACAAATGTGATCATTTGTATAGCATCCAATGCGGCACCATACTGAGATGATTGCTTCTGGGAGCCATCCATGGGTTCTCGAATAGGGGGGAAAAGCCAGGCAAAATTTTATCAATTTACATTTTTCTGTGATTAATTTTTATGCAAATAAGGGCCCGACCGTGCTCCCATCTCACCTGAATCATGCGGATCATCAAAGACAAATTGAGCATCACTTATTTAAAAAATAGGCTTTAAACTACTCTACAGCTGTGTTGGAAAATGCTAAGAGCAGGGCATGAACTTTTCTAATGTAACAGGGATAGATAAGAAAATGCTTCTTTTTGCATTTTTGTCCACACTGTGATAAACATGAATCTTAACAAAATCCTAAAAATTGTCCTTGTTTTATATTCCTCATGCCCTTGTAAACATCTGACTATGGGAATGCTACATAAGGGAATTTTTCCAATTTCAGAATACAAACAAATATACTTGCCAAAAAATACATTGCTTGGTGATGAAAAAAAAAAATGTATAGGTTAGCATACTTAAAGTGTATAGTTTATTTACATTTTTAGATAGAATTCAAGAAATCATCCAGGGATATACTATAGTGGAAAAGGCCTTACATAAACAATCTTATAATGTTAGAGTAAAAACTGTTAAGACATACAAGTAGGTAAGTTCTGTTTAAGATTAATACATTCTGCCTTATGGTATATACAGATCTCGCTATATGAATGTGTCTGCCTATCATAAAATCAGAAATTTAGACTTTGCTAAACAGACTTTTACAAGTAATTAGTATTAGCAGATTACAATGATGAACATTTTTATAATTATTGATGCTAACAATGAAGAATACAGGCATGAAAAACTAATCTTATTTTAAAACAAATGTATCTTTCTCTTCCTTTAGGTAAGCAACAAAACTGTTTCTTTACGGTATTAGGGAATAAGGCAATATTATCAGTCACAACTGTAATTTATATAGGGGTAAGATAAACAGCGCTCAGAAATATGAACATCCGTCCCTCTAATTTGCACTTGAAATTTGTATCCAAGTGTAAGAACACATTCTCGTGAAAAGCTTT